GCAGCTTGGGACTTCGAAATTCTTCATGGTATCAGAGCCATCAAACTCCCTGTCCTTAACCGTCTTCCTCTGTCACTGCTGAGTAGAGACACTAGCAGCGATCTCCTTCCACACCTCATCGACTGGCTTGTTACTCCTCGGCAGTGTAAAGCTCTCCTGTGTAGCCAAAGAAGACATCCCTGCAGTACCATTCGCTTGACCCTCGCCACTGCTACTTCCGAAACAATTCGCGAATATATAGAGGGTTGGCGCGCCAGATCCGAATTTGCCAACCCAGAAGACACCATTGTTGCAGATTTTTAGAGTTTCTGAATTTGCCGACCCAGAAGACGCCATCTCCGTCTTGGAACGAAAAACTGTAGAAATTAGACCCATGCTCTTCGCCTCCAATGCAGAAAACCTCCAACTGGTAAGGGCCAACTCAACTGCTTTTCCATATTCGACGATTCCCGGCAGCCTCTGAAGCATCCCGAGATCACCCGTTATCGCCAAATCAACCTCCTTCACCGAGAAGAACGCATCTTCTGTACAATACCTGATATCGCAGGCCATCACGAGATCGCCAAATCCATTCGCAGCCTACCTAACCTTCTTTGAATTGCTGGATGCATCGTTGCTTGAGTTGATCAGCGTAAAGCAAGCAGGTCTCGTACTCTCCGCGGACGGCTGCAGCAGTCAATTTTTGGTAGTCCATACAGGCCTCGTCCATTAGTCTGTCGACTAAGTATTGCAGACCAGGTCCAAGAGAAGAAATCGTCGACGTGCTCGATGCAGTGGTGGGCTCGCTTGTTCTGATTTCTTCGTGAGTCTCATTAGGATCGTTCATCTACCTCTTAGAATCAAGCTCGACGTGTTACTTGCAATAATCAATCAGCTCGGATGAATCTTGCTGATCGGTTACCATGACTGCCAACAACGAGAGGAACTGTGAGAGCTCGAGTAAGTTTGAATGGTGGGGAGACAGACCCCGCGGTACGTCGACCGAGCGTGGAGCAAGTCAAGGAAAAGGGGATGGACCCTCTGGCGGACGTGACCGAGGTTCAGCAAAAACTCATGCTGCTCAGTCATTAGCAAGGCATGAGGTGGCTGCTAGTGCAGTTGTGACTGACAGAGACAGGACGGGACTAAACGGGCTTACTGACGAGCAATGGCAAACTCTTGTAAGCATGCTTAATGCTTACAAAACCAAGACTAATGAAAAACTCTCTAGTAAGAATTATTCTACTGAATGGATTGTTGACTCTCGAGCGTCACATCACATGACAGGGAATTTAAATGTGCTCGTCGACACCTATGATGTTGCACCTTGTCCTATTAGGTTACCCAACGGTGCGCACATTGAGGCCGTGAAAGAAGGCACCGTTGAACTTGGAAATAATTTTAAATTGCTGCACGTATTATATGCCCCAAAACTCAATTGTAATTTATTGTCAGTAGGTCGGTTACTTTGTGACACTGATTATATTGTAACGTTTACTAAGTTGTGTGTGATATAGGACGACATCTCGAGGACTCTGATGGGTGTGGGTGAACAACTTGATGGGGTCTACATTTTCAAGGGTGTGGCRCCATTTCGAGCTTACAAGACAGATGGAATTGGGTCATGCGATTTGTGGCATCGGAGATTGGGACACCCTTCCTATCAAACAGTTAGTTTACTTCTTAATATCAGTAATAGTAAGAACAAAACTTGTGATGTTTGTTTGAAGGCAAAACAATCTATATATGTTTTTATTCAAAGCAGCAATAAGGTGACTGATTGTTTTGCATTAATTCATTGTAACTTATGGGGTGCTTATAGAGTACCTGCATCTTGTGGTGCGGTATATTTTCTGACAATTGTTGATGATTATTTGCGAGCAGTTTGGATTTATTTGCTGGCTGAAAAAAGTAAAGTTGGTAGAACACTCAAAAATTTTTGTATCATGATTGAACGACAATTTAATAAGAATGTTAAGGTGGTAAGAAGTGATAATGAAACAGAGTTTAAATCCTTGAAGTCATATTTTGACGAGCATGGAATTTTATTTCAATTTCCTGCATTGGGACACCAGAACAAAATGGTCATGTGGAGATAAAGCATCGTCATATTTTGAATGTAGCCAGAGCACTCAGGTTTCAAGCACATCTTCCGATCAATTTCTGGAGTGAGTGTGTTTTGACCGCAGGTACCTGATTAACCGGCCACCTTCGACCCTTCTTGGTGGTAAAACACCTTACGAGATGCTATTTGGACAAAGTCCTCCTTATAAACATCTCAGAGTTTTTGGTTGCTTATGTTTCTTGCATACTAGGGACCGTGACAAGTTTGCCGTTAGGAGTAGGAAATGTGTCTTTGTTGGGTACCCTTTTGGGAAAAAGGGGTGGAAATTGTACGACCTTGAGTCTGGTGATTATTTCGTCTCATGAGACGTGGTGTTTAGTGAGGTCGAGTTTCCCTTTGCCACTCTGGAACATCAACCCTCTGTAACCAGTCTTCCCGTAGCCAAAGAAAATATTGGGTTGCCTTGGGCCACTCCTCCTGACATGGTATCTGAGTCACCTCATATAGAAGTAAGGGGGAGCGACACGATCGATGAAGAAGGACATCCGAACACGGTAAATAATGAGGAGGCAGGTCCCCTTGATGAGACAAGGAGCCATACAGATTACAGAGATAATGAAACTCTAGCTGCTCCTCAGCCCACCACGGAGTTGTTAGGCCACGAACATTGAGAAAAGCGGACCCCTAGCTATTTGCAGGACTTTGTCACACACTCAGCTTGTCGATTAGACCCCTCCGCTGTTTCTCCTGCATCAACTCAGTCCTCAGGTACTCCTTATCCCATAACTCATTATATAACGTATGATAATTTTTCTGTGAAACACACACATTTCTTGGCAGCTATTACTGTAGGCCGAGAACCTACTCATTTCTCTGAGGCAATGACTAATGCCCTGTGGTGCGAGGCTATGCGCCAAGAGATACAGGCTTTGGAAGACAATGGGACATGGACCTTGGAAGACCTCCCACCTGGAAAAAAGGCAATCGGGTGTAAATGGGTCTACAAGATCAAGTACAACTTTGATGGATCCATTGAAACATTTAAAGCACGGTTGGTAGTCCTGTGCGACATTCAAGTTGAAGGTCTTGATTACAATGAAACCTTTGCCCCTGTGGCTAAAATGGTCACAGTTCGTACCTTCTTAGCAGCTGCTGCGGCCCAACATTGGGAATTGCATCAGATGGATGTCCACAATGCTTTTCTGCACAGTGATCTCCATGAGGAGGTTCTATATGAAACCTCCTCCAGGTTTTTCGGCCTCCGGGACTGGAAAGGTATGCAAACTCTGAAAATCTTTGTATGGTCTACGGCAAGCCCCCCGGAACTGGTTCTCTAAGTTAGGTGCTGCCTTGAAAACCTTTGGGTTTGAACAGTCCTCTTTCGATTATTCCTTATTTACATATCGCAAGAATGGGGTTGTCTTGCACGTCCTGATTTATGTTGATGACTTAATCGTTGGGGGGAATAACCTGGAGTTCATACGCAAATTTAAACAGTATATGAACCGGTGTTTTCTCATAAAGGACTTGGGTGTTCTTAAATATTTTTTGGGCATCGAAGTGACTCACGGATCATCAGGGATATTTCTTTGCCAAAGAAAATATGCACTTGATACTATTACAGAAGCTGGCTTATTGGGGTCCAAACCTGCTCACTTTCCTATTACTCAGAATCATAAACTTGCCCTTGTTGACGGAGCATTCCTGGATGACCCTGAACAGTATCGATGTCTTGTGGGCCGTTTGATTTATTTAACCATTACACGGTCGGAGCTCAGTTATTACATCCATGTCTTGGCTCAATTTATGCAGTGTCCTCGTGTTGCTCATTGGGATGCAACATTGCGGGTAGTTCGTTATCTCATTATCTAAAAAGCCGTCCTGGTCAAGAAATATTTTTGCGTTCTGATAGTGATATACAATTATATGCCTATTGTGATTCCGACTGGGCGAGTTGTCCTCTAACTCGTCTCTCTCTTACTGGGTATTTTGTCATGTTAGGACATTCCCCCATCTCTTGGAAGACTAAGAAACAACATACTGTCTCCCGTTCCTTTGCCGAGGCTGAATACTGGTCAATGGCTACTGCCAGTTGCGAGTTGAAGTGGCTAAAAGGTCTGCTGTCGTCTTTGGGTATATCTCATCCTCAACCTATACGCTTGTTTTGCGACAATCAAGCTGCTCTGCACATTGTTGCGAACCCTGTCTTCCATGAGCGAACCAAACATATTGAAGTTGACTGTCATTTCATTCGCAATGAGATCCAAGCCGGCACCATTGCGCCTTCCTATATACATACTGGTGAATAAGTTGCCGATATTTTCACAAAGGCTCTCGGACAAAAACAGTTTGATTATTTCCTTTCCAAGTTGGGCATTCGCAATCCTCATGCACCACCTTGAGGGGAGTATTGGACGAAGATAAGGCGATAAAGCTTGCGAGAGACCAAGGAGATCCCGGATTTGTATACTTTCTATACAGATAGGATTTAGAAGTTTTAGAAGATTCAGAAGTTTAAAAGTTTGTATTTCCTTTTGGATTAGGAGTTGGATTTATTTTAGAAAGGAGCAAGAACTCCGATCGACTTGTATATATACATGATAAGAAATATGGAGAGGCAGCAGCTTGGGACTTCGAAATTCTTCAAGGAGGCCCTATTGATTTCATGGATAGGTCTGTTTCTGGAATAACCTAAAAGAGTTTATACAAGAAAGGTTCATGGATAGGTCTGTTGATTTCAAGGGTCAACATTTTGAATTTATACTGTTTGCCGCAGATCGAACAATATGTCATGGAATGCATTTCGGCTTCGAGGTTAATGTAAGTTGGAGGCTTGCAGTAGAAGTTCAAGTTTCAATCGATTAGATAATCTATATTTATCTCATAGCCCAATTAATGTCAGTTGTAGGTCCAATGGAGAGGAATGCAAGCAACTACTGAATAATAGAAGAGACTGCTAAACCCCTAGAGTTCATTCTTCCCTCTTTGTTCTCCGACAGCCTGAATTGTCATATCAATCTCTGCTAAACCCTAGAGTCCATTCTTCCCTCTTCGTTCTCCTGTAGCCTAAATCACCATATAGAGCTAAACCCTAGAGTTCATTCTTCCCTCTTCATTCTTCGGTATTTTGAATCGCTGTATTGATCGAGTGATCTCTACTAAATCCATGGGTTCAATGGTTAACCATTACTCAACCCGCCCAATCTGTTAAAGCCCATGTTAGTTGGGTTAACCGACCCGCAATGAACTGAAATTAAATAATTGGGTGGGTTGTGCGAGTTGGGTCAAAAATATGTTGGATGGTATATAAGCCACCAAATTCCATAAAATTGACTCGAAATGACTTAACCCTTCATCCCTTTTCATACAACTAGATCAATTAATCTACCACTAGCAGGTGTTTGAATGATGAGCCACAATCCCAAGGGGAAAGGGCATTCAAGAACTAGGTAAATTTTAGTTTTTTTTTTTTTTTTTTTTTTTTTTNTTTTTTTTATTTCTAAAAATC